GCAAAGATATCACTTTGAGGATTAAGGTGCATCTGACCCAGTCAAAGACTCAAGGAAGCAATTAGTTCATAATCCTACGAATCCCAGCCTCTTCTAGCCTAAGACCAGAAGTAGATGGTGCCTGGCTACCACTACTGACTGATCTGACCAGGGACACAACAGAAGGTCCTGGTTAGAATGGGAGAAAAATGTAGAACAAAATTCATACTCATAAAAAGACCAGACTGGACTGATACAGAGCAATCCCTGAGACTCTAAGACACCCTTTTTACCTGGAATTGAAGCCACTCCTAAAGGTCACCTTTCAGTTAAACCGTAAAAACTCACTGACGTGGAGTTGGATCCAACTCATAGTGACCCCTCCTTGGGATTCCGAGGCTGTATCACTATGGAAGTAGATTGCCCAATCATCCTTCCAGGAGTGGTTGGTGGGTTTGAACTGCCAGCCTTCTGGTTAGCAGTCAAATGCCTTAGGCACTATGCTACCAGTACTTCTAGTTAAACAGTAGATTGGCCTATAAAATAAACAATGACATCCATGAGGAATGTATTTCTTGGAACAATCAACTATATGATTCCAAACAAGCAACATTTTTCCAAAAGCAAAGAGGAAGAGGCAAGGAGGGGCAGGGAAATTGGAGGATGGAAACGGGAAACACATGGTAGAAATGGGGAGAGTGCTGCCACATTACCAGGAAAGCAACCAATGTCATGGAACAATTTGAGTATAGATTGTTGAATGGGAAACTAATTTGCTATGTAAACTTTCATCTAAAACACAATAAAATGTTTTAGAAAATACAAATAAACAGGAAAGGTAGAATCTCATACTTCCTTGCTTCAGCTTATTGATTAGAACAAGCTGGGAAATGTAGAAGAGCAGAAGGAATAGATTAGTGAGTACCATTGTTTCTAGAGATCTGGTGGTAAAGTGATTAAAGCATTAAACTGCTAATCAAAAGTTGGCAGTTTGAAACCACTAGCCACTCCATGGTAGAGAGAGATGAGGCTTGGAGACCCTATGGGGCAATTCTACTCTGTTCTGTGGGGTCACTATGAGTCAGAATCAACTTGATGGCACTTGATTTTATTTTTACCTTTGGTACTATTGTGTCTGTCAGAGTTTCTGAGTATTTTTTATTTACTTCCTAGTTTTTAGCTTTGTTTTACTTAACAAGCCTCTAACACAAAGCCTGCCAGCTAAATGAGGTTCCCTTGAGATTTTTTAAACAATAAAATGATTGGGGGGGAAAAAAAAAGTTGTATATCATTAGCTAGCACACTAAAGCCAGCAGTGCCTAACTACCTGCTAGGAGGGGCTTGAGGAAAAAAAAAAATTTCTGTCAAAGGAATTTGTGCTAGTAATTTTCTATCTAGGTTATGATAGAAGTAAAAAGGACTGGATTTTCTTTGTGCTCACATGTGCCAATTATGAATGCATTGCTTCTGGGCTCCAAAGTCAAACGTGAGTACTTGCTTTGCCATTATAGATGGGATTCCTCTTGGTATTTCTCCAGTACGGTAACCAGAATGTTCAACTTTCTCAGTGGAGGGCACTGGAGGGGCATTGCTGGAGGAAGTGGCCCCTCTTGCTGGCTCTATCAGTGGCATGAGTATGAGGACATCAGGTGGTGCTTTTTCTTGTTCACTTGCCCAGAACACACAGTCCTCCTGTGACCTCACAGACTATACGCCCTGGTGACTCCTTTTCTGTGGCTCTCGTGACAGGAAAACCACACTCTAGGCATTCTGCCTTCAGCAGTACCCTCACTCCCTCCGTACACCACCTCCCCAGAGGTGTATCTTCTGTGGGCCTTTCTGATGAGGACACTATGCTATAGGCCGGTTGCCTACTGTGGTTCCCCAACTATCTTTGCTTGCCTGCCCACCACAGCGGTGGATTGTTCACACCTAGAGGATTGCAGGGAGCTCTGATAGCGTAGTGCCTAAGGCACTTGACTGCTAAACAGAAGGCTGGTTGTTCAAACCCACCAGCCACTCCTTGGGAGGAAGGTTGGGCAATCTACTTCTGCAGTGATACTGCCTTGGAAACCCAAGGCGGGGCCACTGAGTCGGGTCCGACTCAACGGCACATAACAACAGAGGATTGCATCCTGCCTACTTGGCTATTGTGGATCAGCTGTCCCAGCACCCCAGCAATGTCTCCATCTGGGCTGCAATCGCCCTCCTCCAGTGAGTTCCAAACCCCAGCCTTGGCATGCTAGGGGAATACTCCTAGTTTTAATTCTCGTCTAATTTGGCTGTGAAGGAAACTAGGGACAGGAAAGAAGGCAAACAGACTGGGTGAAAGGTATTGTTTTCTTTAATCAGCGTGTTTTGCTAAGGATGGTAGTTATTTTGGCCTCACCTAAGTGCCAGATCCAACCTTTAACAAAAGCCTTTACTTTCTGGACTATAAAGCTATTTTCCCCACAGCTCATGGTCATTCATAACTTTCTTGAACCCTAGGCCTAGATTTGAAGAAACCATCCACAGAGATGCTCAGTTAAAGCTTTGAGCCCCAGAAGTCTCTGAATAAGCCTTGTCCCCCAAACTCAGTAACATTTCAGAACTTAGACCTGCTCCAGTTTAGGTCAGACACAAGACACAAGGTGTGTACTTCTATACTGGTAGTCATTGTGGCATTTTCTTGGTCTAATGAATTACTTGATGTAGTAGTGATTTAAAAAACCCAAATCTGTTGCTGTTGATTGACTCATGGCAACCGTGTGTCAGAGTAGATCACTGGGCTTTCTTCTGAGGTGCCTCAGGGTGGACTTAACTGCCACTTTTGGTTGTCAAGTGCTTATCCATTTGCACCACCCAGGGACTCCACATACACAAATAAGGAGGTATTTTAATAAAGACCGCAAACTAGTAAATATAAAATGAGAATTGAAACTAAACATAACTTTGGGTATCATTAGGGCTTTGTGCTGATTCCATGCCATTGCAAAACTGATTTTTGTAATGATCCTTTATTCATTTTGTAGCGACTTAAAAGCTCAGCAAAGAGTAAAAGGAAGTTCAAAATGATTTTTACATTTCATAGCAGTGATCAGATCAAGTATTTTTATGAAGTCATGAAGTAAAAATTATATTCAGAACATGTGCCTACCGAGAATCAGAATTAAATTCTTTTCCTACAGATGGAGCTGATACAGTGATTGTATCAGATTTTACCACTGAAGCAATTTTCAGAAAACACCATCAGGAAATGTCTTTAAGATAAGCTGTAACAGCTTCCCTACACTAGTATCAGACATCTCCCCTAGATAAAATATGAACATTAAAAATATTGCACACCAAGTACTGCAGATAATTCTATTTAACTATGGTAAAACAATTATAATTAAAATAAATTAAAAAAACTAAAACTCACTGCTGTCGAGTCGGATCCGACTCATAGCGACCGTCCTTGGGTTTCCAAGGTGGTTATCAATACGGAAGTAGATTCCCCAACGTTCTTTCTGAGGAGTGGCTAGTGGATTTGAACCGCCAGCCTTCTGGATAGGAGTCAAATGCCTTAGGTACTAGGCCACCAGAGAATCTAAAATAGATTAGATGATATAATTAATGGCATCCCATCCTTGCATCTAAACAATCAAAGAATCAATTCACCTGCTGACTTAAATGGCCTGTGGATGCACTGCCAGGATTTTCTTTAATGTGAAAGAATAACTTAAAAAACAAGCCACAATAAAATATCAGAATAAAAATCTAAAAACACATTTTGAAAAATCAGATTATAAGGAAATAAACTGCTGTTTTTAGGTTATCACTTACCAGTTTTTGATGGGAAAACATGTATGGGAGTCACATGATAAAGGCATTTAAGATAGTCTTAAGAAAGAGTATGCGTGCCTTGCTTAAACACAATACTTGTGTGTATATGTTTGTGTATACATGTATGAAACACTCTTTGCACCAGTGGATAAATCATGAGCCTTCCAATATTTAATGCTTTCTTCTGTAAAATGGGGAGAAATACCTGTGAAAATTACCTCTCAGAATTACTTGGGTAGATGACTTATTATTAAAAGCACTTAATAGTGCTAAACATTCAAAAAAGAAAAAGGAAAAATTCTCTAATTTCTGGTTTAAATGGAGCTTTTCTCACTCAACTAGTATTAATTCACAAAGCCCTGGAGGAAGTAAATAATCTTTATGGGTAAGATCCACTACCTTCCAAGCAGTAGAAGAGAATTCAAAATATTTTTGACCTCTCAATTTTCCTAAGGCCAGTATGATAATCTTGAAGGAAAATAATTATTTCTCTTTATTCCTCAAAGTTAAAAACTTAAGTCTTTACATTTTCATTAAGAATCTCACTCTGTACCAGAAACGACAGTTCCTTAAAACGAGTGTGCGTAGCTTCTCTGCCCATAAAGCAGGTATCAAGTTTACACATTATCAGTAACAGAGAATATCTTGGTGTGGAACATTTATTTATTTTTCTCATGAAACACTCAAAGTTGAGGTCAGTGGGAAATTACTTTAATCAGAGTTGTACATTTTCTTCCCACAATCCTGCTTTGTAACAGGAAATGACATTGTGATCCATTTCACTACAAGTAAAATATTACAAAATATTTACAAGAAGTAGCTCAAACACAAAAGCCAAGGTGGGATGAAATTATCTGGTTTCTCAGAAATTTCTACTCCAGTGCCCACAGCACACAAGAGAGTCAAAACAAATAAGTAACTAAGACTCCCCTGATCACGTTTCAAAAGAATTGGAGGAGGAAAAGAAACAGCATGAAAATGGTATGAAAGGGAATGATATTAGCAGCACTGCTTTAATAACCCAATCTATTTTGAATGAAATATTCTCTTACATGTAGTAAATTCTGACCAAGGCTAAACTTTAGGATATTCCTGCACTGAAACTAGAAAACACCCTGACAGTGGAAGAAGCTCATTCATCTAAGTTTGATAACAGCCTCTTTTTCCATGAACCACTGATGTGAACAGAAGCCTGATCTGATAATCAAAAGCTGTCACAGTAGCCCTTCCATTTCTTTCATGAAAGCTTCATATACATCATCCTTAGTTTGTACTGAAACTGGAACAGAAGGACCAGATTTAGGAGCTGCTTTGGCAAGAGGCACAGCAGAATCATCCTCTGACTTTCTTTGGGGAGTAGTAGTTGCCCCTTTGTTCTCCCGACGTACTCTCAGTGCAGTGGGCACAAACCGAGTAATCTCTGCCTTGGGATTAGTGATCTGTGGTTTGGCACTGATGGTTGCCGTGGCTTTCTTCTCAATGGTGGCTGTGCTTGTATCATCCGCCTTGGGTCGCTGAATCAAGTTGGGTGGGGCACTTAAAACCCCAGGGTTTGGCAAGGGAGCTGGTGGGAAAAGCCCAGGTGGGGCAGGTCCAAGTGGAGGCACCAAAGGTGGGCGCATCATGCCAGGACGAGGTGGAGGGATACCTAAATAATGAAGAAAACAGGGAGAATGATCATCACAATAACTGATAAAATTTAACTACTATTAAGGATGGATTCCCTGGATAATGCAAACAGTTACTGTACTCAACTGCTAACTGAAAGGTTAAAGGTTCAAGTTGGAGGTTTGGGTCTACTCATAGATGCCTCAGAAGAAATACCTAGCACTGTACTTCTGAAAAACCAGCTACTAAAAACCCTACCAGATCACAGTTCCACTCTGACACACATGGGGTCACCCTGAGTTAGAACAGACTTACTCTAGCAACTAGTAACAAATGGCAAATAGACAGCAACTGGTAACTATTAAAGATATTAAAATTATAAGTTGATACATATATTTTTTAAATGGACGATGATTTACAGAAAATAAGCTTCATGCTGCCTGTGATCTAAACTTCTGGACTATATCATTATATTAAGAAATACTTTATTATAAAGTCATATTCACCTTCAGTCTGTATCCTTATATTTAGAAGAAGAATATGCAGCCTGTATTATTGTATTAAGGAGTTCTGGTAACACAGTGTCTAAGGCATCTGACTGCTAACCAGAAGGTTGGTGGTTCAAACCCACCAACCACTCCACAGAAGCAAGACTGGGCAATCTACTTCTGTAAAGATTTACCCACCTAGGAAACCCAATGGGGGTCACTATGAGTTGGATTCAACTTGATGGCAATAGGTTTTTTTTAATTAATGTATTATAATCTAATCTGTACTACTTACAACATCTGTTTTTCTTCCTCTATAAAGAATGCAGTACTCTAAAACAAAGTAAAACTAACAACACCAACTAGTTGCAAGTATTACTTCAAATTTAACAAACCTACTGCCACTGAGTTGATTCCCACTCATATAGAAACCCCCATTGGGTTTCCGAGACTGTAAATCTTTATGTAAGTAGACTGCCCCATCTTCCTTCCATGGAGTGGCCGGAGGGTTTGAACAGCCTACCTATTGGTTAGCAGTTAAATGCCTTCTATTCTAGCTGCATAGTGCAAATGTTATTAAGGCCAAATTAGGAAGTTTATCCCCATGTATTATTTCCTCATTTTCACACCATCTCACCTCTCCCTCTCCTCCCCAAAGTATTCAATGGGCTGAAAATACAACTTCAAACCTGGTCAGTCATTACATGCACATGTGATAGGAATAAATCAATGTAAATAATCATAATCTGTCACCATTACTGGAAAAGAATGCATGTCTTACTGATGGTTCAGATATATCATTACCACATACCAAGAGGGAGCTCTGGTAGTGTAGTGCCTAAGGCATTTGACTGCTAACCAGAAGGCTGCTGGTTCAGACCCACCAGCCACTCCTCAGAAGGAAGATGGGGCAATCTACTTCTGTAGTGATACCACCCTGGAAACCCAAGGAGGGTCGCTATGAGTTGGGTCCAACTCGATGGGATGGCACATAACAACAACATATCAAGAAATGCTGATTTTAATTTTCTTCAAATACAACTTTTAAGACTGACTATAAAGTACCATACTTCATCAACCTTAAGATCACAACACTTAATTATTCTAAGACTAACATAGAAAGTTCAAGTAGGGGAACTAAAAGGCGGCCTTCGTGTTAAATTGAGGCATTCAATCTAGCAAACCAAAAATACATTTGCCATGTATATAAAGACCACAAGGAAACTTGAATGTCTACCCTGGTACTGGGAAGAGGTGTGTGTGTGTGTGGGGAATCTCCCCTGTACTATGGTCCTTATGCAGATATGGGCTTAATTCATAATTACATAGGTAGTCCTAAAAAAATAGAGAATTTAATCCAAAGTGGTCTTTAGCTAGGAGAAGTCCCTCAAACGACAGAATGAAATGCAAATATTCTTTGGAAGAACTTGACTTTAATCAAGGCCAAAAGCAATTAAAAACGCCATTGACTGAAAGACAGCCTTAATTTTAGGATACTGAAATGTGAAAACACACCTTAAAGCAGATGAAATACATAGTAGACTTAAGCTTTTATCATAGAAATTGAAAGGTTTACCTGGAGGTGCAGGGGGAGGTAGCCTTGGTGGGGGGCCCCGAGGAGGAGGGCCAGGAGGCAGACCAGGAGGTGGTCCTGGAGGTGGGCCAGGGGGTCGGCCAGGGGGTGGTCCTGGAGGTAAAAGTCGGGGTAAAGGCCCTCGGAGGCCTGGCATTCCGGGTGGTCTCAGGAACGGAGGTGCTCCTGAAAAGGGAAAGATGATAAACTAATGTCAAGAAATAATAATTATAGTATGAAGGTAACTAAAATAGGGCTTGACTTATCACTTTAATCTGAAATCAGGTTAACTTCAAAAACTGACTGAAACATATGTGGAAACAGAATTTACACAACAAATACCTACACCAGAGCAAGGGTTCTGAATTTGATGTGGATTACTTCACTTATTTTCCAGAATTGACAAAATGCATTTTCAATCACAGCTCTGCTTGGACGAATATATACAAAGATGAGAAGAACTTTTAAGTGGTTTCAGTAAAAACTAACAATGGAATATAAAGCAGGGTGCTTTAAGGATACCCTGAAACTCATTAAGGTATAGGCAAGGACCACCGAAAATGACAGCAGAAGACAGGTAATTTTGCACTACATCAATCAAAAAAGGATGAACTCAACTGATTGACTGTAGGATGAAGAAGCAGTCATAGAGAGCCAAAAAAGCTTCTATATGATGTTTTGAATTGCAAGTAAGCTTTTTAACCTTTGAAGCAGGAGAACAGCTAAATTACTGAACACCACGTTTCTGACTATAAAGATTATACTGCTATCCAACTACTCCCAACCTAGCAAGGAGCATGAGACAGAATTAACTGTGCCCTAACTCATCTGATACCAACTGAGAACAGGGTCAACCTATCATATTAAATAGTAGTACTGAAGAAAGCCTCAGTTACATGGTCAAGTTTCTGCTTGCTGTAATCAGAACTGAAGAATTAAAAAGGAATAACTTGGATAAAAACGGGTGGTTATCAGAAGCATTAAGCGAGTTATATACAAGTATGGTAGGAATAATTAAGTTTTTCACTTATCCTTTGAAAATCCTATTTCTTACAGAATCCCACTAAGAAGAAACAAAATACATCTTCTCCAACCTCATTTGACTTGAATAAATTTGACATTTATTCACATTATTTGAGTGCTTACCTGGTGGTGGTCCAGGAGGAAGGCCTGTAGGTGGTCCAGGTGGCCTTAAAGGTGGAGCAGGTGGTGGTCCAAGAGGTGGTGGTCCTGGCATAGGAGGTGCTTGTATTTGAGAAGGAGGAACAGACTGTGGCGGAGCCTGCGGCTGTGAAGAACCAGTAGATGTGCCATCAGAAAGAGATTCCTCTTTATGTTGCTTTTGTGATTGCTTTTCTGCTTCAGAATCATCAGAATCATCTTCGTCATCATCTTCTGAAAATTCCTCTACCTCCCGTCCCTCCTCAGGGATTTCCTGACCTGAAAGAAATTTTACACCAGGTAAATGGAGTTGACTCAATTTGTAGCCTATAGAATGGCATGCCTGTTGATACATGCTTTCTTAAAATTAATAAATAGTGTTCTTCAAAAGAATACTTAGACGTGGAAGAAACAGATAGCATTCTGCTCCTCGCTCCTAGTGTAGCATAGTGGAATGAAGAGATCTTAGAACACAAGACACAACACCTGGATTTAAATGCTAGCTTAATCACTTCCTACCTGTGTAACTTTGGAAAATCTACCTTAATGCCTCCAAGCCTTAAATGCTGTAATGCAAGGATTTATTATTTATTTCAGGGTTGCTGAGATACTAAGTGTGAAAACGTATGTAAAGCAACTAGCACAAAAAAATACTAAAAAGTGACTCACTCTTTATTCCCTATCTTACCTGCCATTCGTAGCATCATGGCTTGAAGAGGAGTTAGCTCCTTCATGTTCTTCTTTTTCTTCCTTGATTTTCCAGGCATATCTGCAAATCGCACACTCAGACCTAAGGTGTCAGGAGGGTGGGAATCAACAAAATTCGTAAATGCTTATCATATAATACACATGGTAAAATACCAGATACAACTGCTGCCCCACTACTTGGCAGATGGTAAGCACAGAAAAAGATACCTAAATTAGTAATAGTAAATGAATTGCCAACCTAGTGTTAAACATATGCTTTCTACTTTCTAGTACTAGTTCCCATATAAGTCTTCTATTATTTTTTTGTTACCCATTCCACCTGAAGTTTTCTTACCCACTACCTAAAGTAATTTTTTAAACTACTTTATTCATTTACAACCACATGATTCCTAAGAAACATTAGGGGAAAAATTTATCATTACCAATACTAAAGATTCTCCAGTAGGCTACAAAAACAATTCCAATGAAGCTCCAAAACTACTGAGGTGAGAAAGTACTACTGTATGTTTCGTGCAGTTCAGGAACTACTGCAATTCATTAATAAATGCTTGAAAATTTCCGAAAGGGTGAATATTATAACCACCTCTTAAAAGTATACATAACTCAATTTAAATTTGTAATAAACACATAAAATACATGATGGACATAATAGGTTACAATTAAAGCATCACCATTCCACTCATAGGTGTACCTAAATTTTAATTATGGTTCTACTTCATGTGAGATACCATGAACACAAAAATCAAAGGGCTTAAAATGCAGGTATTTTAAAAAACAAAACAAATCAACATGAATATGGTTTTCTTAACATTTTCATGTGGTTATTTTTTCTTCTCTAAACATACCTATGGTTAAAGTATATCTTTATGCTGCTGAATAGCTATCATCTTTTTTCCCCCAAAGACAGACTTTATTATATAGGCTTTTTTTTTATTACCTAGATAATTTATTTTTCATCTATTAAGTATTTGCTACCTATAAAAAACTTTCAAATTGTAGAGATTTAAAGATGAACAGAGCTACAATCTCTGCTTTTAAGAAGTTAAAAATTACTTTCATAGATCCATTAATAACTTAGGACAGTCAGTTTATGTGCTATTGATCAATAGCATGGAATTTTCATCTGTACATACCTGACTTTTTTTCTTCATTGTTGTCTCTCTCATTATCATCACGGTGCACAAACTCATCCCCCTCACTTTCTCCATCTGATCTGTCAGTGTCGCTGTCATCAGTGCTGTCATCATGCTTATCTTGATCCATATCCTCAGGATAGCCATCATCTTCACTGGTGCTAGAAACATCGTCATCATGACCTCGCTGAGCTGAAGATGGGGGGGTAGGAGCATGGAGAAAGTAATGTTTGGATCCTCTACCACATGGTACCCAGAAATACTGAAAAATACTATGCTAACTACTTAGAATATAATAGCTTAAAGGTTAAAAACTTCCAAAATCTTCACATTTGAAAACAAATTCCATTTAGAAATTATGCAGACACACTCACACACACACACAGGTAAATCCCATGATTTATCCAACTATATAGCTGACCCCTGAACATGGGGGTTAGAGGCACCAACCTCCTGCACTCGAAAACCTGTGTATACCTTTTGTCTCCAAAAAAACTTAGCTACTAATTGCCTCCTGTGCCCTGGAAGATTTACTAATGACATAAACAGTCCTGATCATAAACCTAACTGCACGGCACAAAACAGTTGTCAGCCTATCCCTTTCCTGCCTTAAATCCTGGTGCTCACTTCTTTTCCTTACTAATAAATGTCCTTTGTAGCATTTTTTTGTCCCAGAGTAGAACACTTTCCTCTGCATTAAATACCTTCTCTGGCAGATATCCTATCTTGTCAATGATTTTTTTTTTTAATGGCATTTGGGAACTAGTCTGCTGCCTCTTGGCCAGCAGAAGCTGCTTTGTGTGTTATCATGACATTTTTTCAAGACAAACGTCTTTCCAAAATTATTAAACCATACTTTGCTGGCATTAAATTCTCCAGCTATAGATCCTTCACCTTCCTTTAAAGTTGTCATATAATGAGTTCACTTTCTCTTGAATCATATTAGAGTCTATAGGTAGGCCTTACTTATAGAGATCCTATACCCACATGAGAGTGCTGGTAACGTAGTGCCTAAGGCACTTGACTGCTAACCAGGAAGCTGGTGGTTCAAATCCACCAGCCACTCCTCGGAAGGAAGATGGGGCAATCTACTTCCATAGTGATATTGCCTCGGAAACCCAGGAGGGGTCACTATGAGTCAGGTCCAACTTGATGGCACATAACAACAACAACAACACACCCACGTAAAAGCTCCATTTTCAATACAAGAAAAAGTATTTCACAAAAATTGCAAGGTTTTCATTTGCCTGCTGGTGTAGCTGTAGCAACTGCTTCATAAGTTTCCTTTTTTCCCCAAATAAACAATGGTCCTTATGGTGAATTCATTTATCTTTAAATGGTGGGCTATAGCAGCTACAGACCTCAATCTATGGTATATATCAAGCAATTCAACTTTTTCTTATAATATCATGACTTTTCCCTGCTTCCTGGAAGCACTTCCATCATCACTAGTGGCATTTTGTATGCGTCTCACATTATTCAAAGTTTACAGTATTGCACTAAACACAACTACAGATATGCAAGAACCACCAGAGATGACTTTTTACTGTGATGTGCAATTACTGGAAACAACTCCTCACACTGATATGATTAGCATCACATGGTGTTTAAAGCAAGCTCTGGTGGTGCAGTGCCTAAGGCATATGACTGTTAACCAGAAGGTTGGTGGTTCAAACCCACCAGCTACTCCATGGAAGGAAGATAGGGCAATCTACTTCCATAAAGGTTTACTGTTTTGGAAACACAATGGCTGTCACTATGAGTTGGAACTGACTCAATAGCAGTGGGTTTGGTGTTTTGTTTGGTGTTTAAAACAGATCATGGATCCATGGAACATTTAAGTCCTGAGGACTGTAATATATAGGAGGTGCCTATGAGATTATTATAGTAGTACAGTAAGCACAAGTTAATTTTATGCAGCTATGATTAATACCGCACCTTTATATCTGTTTACACTTTTCTCAACTGTGAATGATGCCATGTATGGTCTGTAAGTGTTTGTGTGCCTCAGTTTTTATAAATCTAAACTTTTTATAATAAATTTATACATAGTTTATGATAATAAATGATAAAATTTTCCAATATATTTATTTAAACAAATCCATGGTAAGTGGACGCATGCAGTCCAAACTCATGTTGTTCATGGAGCACTTGTATAGTACTCTTACTTCCTAAGTTCTGAAAGTAATGAACAATATGTCAAACAGGGCCAACATAAAAAATGACAGTAAAAGATAGTAAGAGCAAAAGGAACATAGTCACTCCTTACCAAGTTCAGGACTATATAGCATATCTTCATCTCGCCTACGAGGAGGAAGATCTAGGGCAAAGCCCACTTTACGGCCATACATCTGCAAGACCTGAGGAGGAGGTGGACCAGGGGGAGGACCAGGTGGTTTTCTGCCAGGGGGTAAACGTGGAACACCATGTCCAAGAAGAGGAAGTATAGAAACTGCCCGAGTTGGAGGTCTGTAAAGAAAACCTTATAGTAATTACCTAATAGTAAGAAGGTATTTACTTCCTCTTCTAAACAAATTTCAAGGGATTTCTTATTTCACATTTAAATCAATCACTGTCTTTTATTTTCCATTGCATTAATCTCAGCATTGGACAGTCAAGAGGTACTTTAAATAAACGTTATTTATGATAGTGCTCCCTTACCCATAGGCTGAGGTCTTCTTAAGGATGGAGGGTGGCTGAGCACCAGGAAGTGGAATGTCTTGGATCAAGATGTTGGAAGGAGCATGGGGCATATCTGGCAAAGGAATACTCTCAACTTCCACATGCTGGGCATTCTGAAACAGATTAATTTTCAATAGTACAATACGAGTATGCACAAGCTCAACCCTCAAAATTCAAGGTCAGCAATTTCAAAACCTGGATTTGAGTTCTATGTAACAGACGTATCATGCAAAAATATAGTTTCCATACTTCCAAAGATTATAAAAATTGTAAAGAAATCTTCTCTGTAAGAACCAAAACTCAGCTGTTTTTTTGCTCCCCTTATTTTCAACTAATCCTTTTTTGTTATGACTTGAAATAACTGCTGTTTAGAGGAAGTCCAACCATTAAAGTACGTAGCACTAAAGCCACCATATTTAAGATTCTAGATAACAGAAGACTATAACATACCAAGAAAGAGAATCTCTTTAATGAACCATGTGTATAACACTGAGCAAGTTTTTACATTTCTCCAAACTGTAGTTTCCTCATCTATAAAATGGGACCCAGACTATCTACTTCACAAAAAGATTATACATTAATGTTTTTAAAATTTTGAGGTGAAATTTACAATGGAATGTACAAATCCAATGAATTTTGAAACATGTATAGGCCTAGAAAGTTCCCTCATGGCCCTTCCCAGTCAACTCCTGACCTCAGCCCAAGGCAAATCATTGTTATATTTCCCTCCCTAGATTAGTTCTGCTTGTTCTAGAATTTTATACAAATAGTAACTACAAAGAAGTTCAGCATGCTTTTAAAATTTATCAATGTTGTTTTGGGTATGAGTAGATAATTTCCCCACCCCTCCCCGTCTTTTTCTTAAATTGTTGAATTGTATTCCATTTTATAAATATACTAGCTTGTTTATTCATTAAGGAGCCCTGGTAGTATAGTGTTAAATGCTTGTCTACTAACTAAGAAGTCAGTGGTAAGAATCCACTAGATGCTTTGCAAAAGAAAGGAAGAAAGGTGTAGCTTCCATAAAGATTACAGCCTTGGAAACTGTATGGGGCAATTCTACTTTGTCCTTCAGGGTTGCTACAAATCAAAACTGACTCAATGGCAATGAGTTTGCTATTTTTGTTTATCTATTTTCTTACTGAGGGACACCTGAACTGTTCTCAGTTTTTGGTTATAACTGTGTTACCAGATGGATTAATTTCTCTTGTATAAATACCTAGGAGTGGAATAGACTCTCAGGGTAGGTGAATGTTTAGTTTAACAGGAAACTGCCAAGAGTAAGAGGTTCAACATTAATTCTCCCATTAACTTTTAAGAGCAAATTTCAGTATAGCATTTATTTCTTTCAAAATAAATAAACTCAGTTACCTTAACAGCATCAAAATATTGGCTAAGTTGAGCCCTCTTCTGTTCATATTCTACTTCTAACTTTCTCAATTCTTTGTAAATATCTGGATTCTCTTTTTCATAGAGTCGTAGAATACGTTCAAACGTTTCACGTAGCTTTTTACGCTTGTCTTTCAGCACCTTCTCATTTAACTGTGGCTGTTGTACTGGATTAAACTCTGATAAGGAAAAGCAGGTAAGAGAATGAGATACACAAAAAGGTCACTTTTAAGTTAACAGGCTATATAACTAATAATAATAATAATATAAAAGGAGCTCTGGTGGTGTAGTGCCTAAGACATTTGACCGCTAACCAGAAGGCTGGCAGTTCAAACCCACCAGCCACTTGTCGGAAGGCAGATTGGGGAATCTACTAGTAGTGATACCACCTTGGAAACTCAAGGAAGGGTCACTGTGAGTTGGATCTGACTCGATGGCAGTGTGTATGGTTTTTCGGTTGGTTTGTATAATTAGTAAGAACCTCTATATATGTTCCTTAATACTCTTTTTTCAGTTTCATTCAAAAGAACTACGATATTTATTAAAATTCCATCCTTTTAAAATGGCCATAGATATTCTTTTCTGAGAAATATCACCTAATTAACTGACTTTCATCATCACTACAATAAAAATCAATTTTCACTCCTCTATGTTGAAAATCGGATATACTGAATTTTCAATTAGACAGGTTTGAGTTTGCGTATTGGTCCTATCATTTAATTTTGAGAATTTTGGTACTTTAACTCTGAGCCTCAGTTTCCTTATCTAGAAAATGGGGATAGCAACAACTTCACAACAAAACTCTGATGATTAATTAATAAATAAAATACACAGCAATGTGTGGGTTTCCACAGGCACTTAATTATCATTTTATAATTACTGTTATTTGCAGCCACAGTATCAATCAATCTCACAGAGGGTTTCCCTAGTTTTCACTGACCTTACATTTTACCAAACATGATGTCTTTTTTTAGTGAATGGTCTTTCCTGGTTTTTATAATAGACCTGTGTTTTTGACTAGCTCTTGGACAACCCTCCTCTGTCAACTGACCAAGAGTGTCATCATGGGGTTATTTCAGGCCTCCTGACTCAAAAGGGTAAGCACAAATCCTAGGCTTGCCTAGTCAATATAGCCCCCTTAGCCCCTTGCAAATAACTAACTCTGAGATCAACTGACTTATGATTAGATCCTTCTCTGGGATTTTAAATGTAGATGTGGGAGAAAAGTTCTCACATACTTTTCTGGAGGTGTTAAGTAGGGATGAAATGAGCTGACTCTCAATCACCTTGTCTCTCAACCACTACTAAGTCCACATATATGCTCCACCTATGATCCCAAGTTCATCAGCAATACCAAATAAAGCTAACAAAGAACAGATCAGACAGATGCAGAGTCCAGATGATAACTGGGTTTCCAAGGTCAGCTTTCCTCTGTATTCCCCAATTAGGGGAGTCAATATATACTATTTTTTTGTCTGAACTACTTTGAATTTAATAAATTGTAACTAGAGCCCTGATAAACAGTATACCCTTCTTTTTTCCTTTTTTTTTTTTTAAAGAATAGTTACTTTCTTCCCTAAATCCTATTAACTATTAACCTTGATGATTTATTCAAATCCAGAAGGTATATTCTTATATCATACCATTTAAAGTATAGCATAATGAATAAGTGTTGAATGCTAGACATTTAGTTCCAGCTTTGCCACTTCATCTAATCTCATCAATTCTTGTTTCTTCATCTATAAAATGGTTTTCCCTACCCCAAGATGGTATTAAGTATAAAACAGCATGGAAAAATAACTGCTACCTACCCATGTAAGTACTCAATAAGTCTGTGATTGCTATTATCTACTTTTAAAACAAATCATTTTGGGTGATTTAATAGGTGATAGCATGATACCTTCTACCACTCGTCTGTCAGTTTGTCACACTGTGGTGGTCTGTGTGCTGCTGTGATGCTGGAAGCTATGCCACTGGTATTTCAAATACCAGTAGGGCACCCATGCTCACAGGTTTCAGTGGCATTTCTAGACTCAAATAAGACTAGGAAGGAGGACATGGTCAGGTTAATTTCTAAAAAACTGGCCACTGTAAATCTTATGAATAGCAAGGAAACACTGTCTGATATAGTGCTGGAGGATGAGCCCTTCAGGTTGGAAGGCATTTAAAATAGGACTGGGGAAGAGCTATCTCCTCACAGTAGAATCAACCTTAATGTCACAGATGGAGTAAAGTTTTCTGGACCTTCATCTGCTGTGGCATGACTCAAAATGAGAAAAAACAGCTACAAAATTCCATTATAACTTAGAATATGGAATGCAAAAAGTATGAATTGAGGAAAATTGCAAGTGGTCAAAATTGAAATGCAAGGCATAAATATTGACATCTTAGGCATTAGTGAGCTGAAATGGACTGGTATTGGCCATTCTGAATTGGACAACCCACCAGCCACTCCTTGGAAGGAAGATTGGACAATCTACTTCTGTAGTGATACTGCTTCGGAAACCCAAGGAGGGGTCACTATGAGTCAGGTCCGACTCGACGGCACGTAACAATGACAACATAGTCTACTATGCTGGCAAAGACAAACTGAAGATGAATCGTGCTACATTCATTGTCAAAAACAACATTTCAAAATATATCCTGCAGTACAATGCTGTCAATGATAGGATAATATCCATTTGCCTTCAAAGACAGGCTAATACTATCATTATTCAAATTTGTGCATCAACCACTAATGCCAAAAACTGAAGACTTAGCAGGTTCTGCAATCTGAAATTGACTTAACATGCAATCAAGATGTATTGATAATTACTGGTGATTGGAATGTGACTGTTGGAAAAAAACAAGGATTCAGAGTTGGAAGATATGGTCTGGGTGATAGAAATGACTTGAGATTGCATGATAGAATTTGGCAAGACCTACAATTTATTCATTGCAAACACCTTCTTTTCAACAACAAAAACAATGACTATACACGTGGACCTTGCCAGATGGAATACTCAGGAATCAAACTGACTACATCCATGGAAAGAGACAATGGAAAAGCTTAATATCATCAATCAGAACAAGCCAGGGGCCAAATGTGGAACAGACCATCAACTGCTTATAAGCAAGTTGACAATGAAGCTGAAGAATTAAAACAAGTCCAGGGGGGCCAAAATAAGACCTTGATTATATCCCACCTGAATTCAGAGAACATCTCAAGTAGAGATTTTATGCACTGACCAACAAATGAAGATGAGTTATGGGATGACATCAGGGATATCATACATGAAAAAGACAAAATGTCATTAAAAAGATAGGAAAGATAGAAAAGACGAAAATGGATGTCAGAAGAGACTCTGAAACTTGCTCTTGAACAGACAGTAGCAAATGGAAGAAATGATGAAATGTAAAAGGGCGGAAGAGAAGATATCAAAGGGCAGCTCTAGAAGACAAAGTAAAATATAATGAGATGTGTAAAGACCAGGAATCAGAAAACCAAAAGGCAGAACATGCTTGGCATCTCCCAATCTGAAAGCACTGAAGAGAAAATTCAAATCTCAAGTTGTAATATTAAAGGATTCTATGGGCAAAAGATGCCATATTCGACGTGGAAATTGGGCAATGTTCAACCATTTCAGGAGGTAGCATATGATCAAGAGACAATGGTACTGAAGAAAGAAGTCCAAGCTGCACAGAAGGAACTGGCAAAAAACAAGGCCCCAGGAATTGACATAATACTCATTAAGATGTATCAGCAAACACATGCAGTGCTGGAAGTGCTCACTCATTTATGCCAAGAAATTTAGACGTCAGCTACCTGAACAACCAACTGGAAGAGATCCATATTTTTGCCCACTTGCAAGAAAGGTGATCCAACACAATTTGGAAATTACTCAACAATATCATTAATATCACATGCAAGTAAAATTCTGAAGATAATTCAAAAACGGTTGCAGCAGTACATGTACAGGGAACTGCTAGCAATTTAAGCTGGCTTCAGAAGAGAATGTGCAACAAGAGATCTTGGCTGAAAGCAATGAATAGCAGAAAGGCATTTACCTGTGTTTTACTGAGTATGCATAGACATTTGACTGTGTGGGTCATGACAAATTATGAGTAACACTGTGAAGAATGGGACTTTCAGAAGACTTAATTGTGGTCACGCAGGACCTGTACATAGACTAAGAGGCAATTGTTCAAACAGAACAAGGGAATACTGCATGGTTGAAAATCAGTAAAGGTGCACATCAGGGCTGTATCTTTCACCATACTTATTCAATCCGTATGCTGAGCAAATAATCAAAGATGATGGACTATATGAAAAACATGGCATCAGGACTGGAGGATGACTCATTAACAGCCTGCAATATGATGACACAACCTTGTTTGCTAAAAGTGAAAAGGACTTAAGCATTTATTGACAAACAACAAAGATCACAGCCTTCAGAATGGGTTACAACTCATCACAAAGTGCGGTGTAGTAAATTACTTAGTGTGGCTTTTCTACCCATAAGTCTTTGTAAACTCCAAGGTGGGATTTTCTATGAGCGACTGAGGAGCTTCTGACTGCTGAAGCTATCCACCTGGGTTATTTCTGTTGGGTGTGGCACAATACAATGTTCTGGGAGGTTCCCACTCTCTCTCAGGTGCTTAGAGTTCTGATGCTATGATTGGCTAGTTTGACCACCCTTCCGGGCCCAAAAGGAGGCCTCCTGGAGGCAGAACTCTCTCTCTGACTGCTGGTTGAGGAAGACGTATGACCCGGGCTCCTGAGACACATGTTGCTGGGAAAGAGACACGAGAGACACGCATTGCTGAGTGAGACACCGAGGGACCAGCACTGCTGAGAAAGAGACTGTGAGAGATTGTTGGCTGAGGGACGGTGGGCTGGGAGAGAGACTGAGCATTTTCCCTGAATTTGAATTGTAGCCTGTGGTGCTTCCCTAATAAACCCCATAATCTGTGAGCTCTGTGTGGCCACCGCAGCGAATTATCGAACCCAGGAAAGAGGTGGTGGGTGCTTGGAGAGGAACGGTTGGTGAAAGGGCTGGAGGGAGGCGGCATGTCTGGCCTTGCAGTAATAGGCCTTGGGTTACTGCTGGTAACCCTGTCTTCCTCTTGTGGGATTAGAGGAGGTCAGAACATGTGGCCTCCTTGCCCTTTTTGCACAAAGAAAACAAAAATCTTCCCAACTGGACCGATAAAAGCAACATCATAATAAATGGACAAAAGGTTGAATCTGTCATGAATTTCATTTTACTTGGATCCACAATCAATGACATTGGAAGAAGCAGTCAAGAAATCAAACAACATACTGCACTGGACAAATCTGCTGGAAAAGACCTCCTTCAAGTTTTAAAGAGCAAAGATGTTACTTTTAAGACTACGATGTGCCTGACCCAAACCATGATATTTTCAATAGTCTCAAATGCATGGGAGAGCTGGACAACGAATAGACCACAGAAGAATTGATAATTTGAGTTTTGGTGCTGGCAAAGAATATTGGATGTACTATGGACTGCTAGAAGAATAAACAAATTTGTCTTGGAAAAGTACAGCCAGCATGTTGCTCAGGGCGAAAGTGGCTAGACATCATCTTTTGTGCTTTGGTCACGTTGTCAGAAAGGACCCTGGAAAGGGATATTATGTTTGGTAAAGCAGAAGGTAAGGAAAAAGGGGAAGACCCTCTACAAGATAGACTATCATGGTGGCTGTGACAATAGGCTCAAGTATGGCAATGATTATGAGGATGGCAGAGGATCCAGCAGTGTTTTTATTCTATTGTACATAGGACTGCTATGAGTCAACTGACTTGCTGACACCTAACAAGAAAATCATGAAACCTTAGGGACAGTAATTCTCTTCCTTAATGCTTAGACCAGAGGCAAAAACTCAAACCAGTTATAGCTGAACTGAGAAGTATGTTTGATCATGCTGCCTGAATCAACTCTTGCCAGGATAGTGCCACAGGGCTTCCTACATTATTTCAGAAATCTTGTAATACCAAAACCCCACATTTTACAAGTCTGGATTTTCTGAACGTCACTTAATCTATCACCAAGAAGTCCCACTGCACCTCTTTCATTTTCTCCCTGCTTTTAGGAAAATCACTAACCTTGTTTTGGTATCTTTGTAAACAAAATTTGTTAAGTATTGCAGTAAAATCCAATTAAAAAAGGTAGCAGAAACAGCAGCAGCAAAATTGGCAAAAAGGTGACAGCTGAAGAGCATATGTGAGTTAAGTACATTATTTTATTCTTGCATGTCTACAGGCTTCTGGGAAAAAACCCCAGTGTTCTAACATCAAAGTAGATAATATTGGACTGGGATAAAATTTCCAGTGGAAGCAATATACAGATGATTCTCAAGCAATGTAGATATTAAGGAAAGAAAACATGGCCTTACCAAATGATTATAGTAAAAACAAAGCATTGACACTAAAGCTGCATTATCAAAATTCAAGAAAAATATATGCAATGTGAAATGAAAAGAAGTAAATCCTAGTGTAGTATTTATGTAAGTATTTGTATATATATATATATATATATATATATATATATATATATATATACATGTACTTAGTAAATGGTCAATTACCGTTCTGGCTCTTTTTACTGGAAAAATATTCATGAAGGTCTAATATTTAGATTTACATGGTTGAAAACATTTTTTAAAAAAACAAACCCAATGTAATTTCATAAACCAGACTTTAGTAATGACCTGGTCAAACTGGATTTTCATTATCTGCTAATACTACTAAGCTGAAGCTTAACAAGGGCTTCCCTTTTATTATTGGAAAGAAGCTCTTCAATTTATATTAGCCTCCCACCACTCTCCTTGGTCTCCCTGACAGTAAAGCCAAGTGTCAAATCCCATTATGCTTTTCTTTCTTTGACTATACTGGCTCACTTATTACATTCCTGCCCATGGGTTAGACTGTTGTACCTGTAATAAAATCTAGCCTTTTTATAAATTCTTACCCATTTCATCTAATTTCTCCATGTCCCGGATAATCTGTTTGGGATCCTTCATCTTCAAAACTGCAGCTCGTACCATCATGCGTTGTTTTTTGTTCTTAAGAAAAATGAAAGAGTATGTAGACAACCTGGACAGTTGTGAGTTTTTATTTTAATATGGTTTAAGAATCGATTTAAACTCAATTTTTATCTTCTCTCTGGTTTCTGAACACTTGTTTCAATTTCCAGAAACAAAGTTATTTTTCTGCTCTCAAAAATGTTTCTACTTTTCATTGAGGAAGAGGAAGACATAGAGAAGTGCATGGGAGATAGACAACAGAGATGAACCCTTTTGCACATACAGTACTGCATTGCCAGTGAGGCAAACATTGATCTATGGGTGGATAGATGGTAGACAGTCTGAACAATCAGGTATGTCTAGACAGGGGGCAGTGTGCCCACAACCATGTATAGGGTTGGCAGATGATGCATCTACAAGTGTATTCGTGTGTTCTATAAGAATGTCCAGGTATATAGTAAAGCTGACAAGGGACAAGGTTGTGATGACTTCTTGGCCACACCTACCTACTGGAGGGAGTGAGTAGTTGGACCTGTGGGCTCCAGACCATGGTCTCAGGGGACATCAAGCTCAACTGGCACAACGTACACAAAAACATTATTCCACATCTTACTTTGATGAGTAGTGACTGGTATCTTAAAAGCTTGCAAGTGACCATCTAGATACAACGATAGGTCTCTTCTCACCCAGAGGGAAGAAGAATGAAGAAAACCAAAGATGCCTGGAAACAATTAGTCCAAGGGACTGGTACACCATGTGATCCTCAGCCTGTATGACCAGAAGAACTAGATGGTTCTAGTTCTAGCTACACTGTCAACCTCTCGGAGGGGGTCTGTGTAGGAGATTCTGGATAGAGTAGGAGAACAATGTGGAACAAAACTCAGAATCATTTAAAAAAAAAAAAAAAAAAAAAAAACCAGGTTCACTGATCTGATAGAGCCTAATGGAACCACTGAGACTATGACCCCCAGCTGCCCTTCAGGTCTGAACTGAACCTATTCCTGTGGCTTCCAGCCAAATAAAAGACAGGGATATAGGCTGAATATTCACATCAGGTATATACACTCCTTGGAGAGATCAATCACGGGAGAACAGAAGGGCAGTGTATGCACAGGGAGACAGTTCAGGAGGCGGTGGTGCATGGGAGGGAAGGACATAGGGAAGAAGTAACTACAGGGAGGAAGTGGGAAGAGAGTTATTACATTGTAGGAAATTGCAGTCAATGTCATGAGACAAAACATGTATGAACTCCTACATGGAAAATGAATTTGCTCTGTAAACTTCCACCCAAATCACAATAAAAATTAAATTAAAAAAAAAAATTCTTCCACTTTTGTCAAAAAGATAAACATTATATATTAGATATGCATTTTTAAGCTAAGTATCTGTTCTAATCTTGTGAGATCTTTAGCAATTACTTAAAAATTTATTTATATTTTTAAACAAAGCTTGCAGCTAAATTCTAAACTTACAAAGAAAAGTCTCACAAGTTTTAATGCTGAACAATGAAACAAGAAAACATAATTGAAAAATATTAGATATCTGAATTTCCTTAATCTGTTAAAGCATGAGACTAAGAAATAAATTCTCTCTTATTCTTGAGAAGCACTCTGCCACAAATGCAACAGCTACCTAAGTAGAAAAACTGGTAACAAAGCAATTTAGCATACTTATTTCCACTCACAATCTAGCAACTTTGATCAAAACAATTATTTTAATAAATAGCAAAAAAGAAAAAAATATTTTCAAAAATACGTATTTAACTCACTGGAAAAAATAATCAAATTAAAAAAAAAAAGACATGATAATCTGCCATGAACCTATTTACAAAGTTGTATCAGTTCAGTTTCTTAGTACTTTGGCTCAGTAAATTTTATGGTTTGTTACAAGAAGCATAAAGTATCTTTTCTGATAAATAACTGGAAATGTCATTTTGAAATCCACTGGTCCCAAATATCAATATATGTCAAGCAACACTTATAGCTACATAAGATTTTTCTGAAATCTTACCTTCTTTAATTCTCTCTTCCGGGCTTCCTTTCCTTTAAAAGGGAGAGGGAGACATAATAAAACTTTCAAATCTTGATATTAGCATTTTCAATTTAATACATTTTTAACTTTAAGAGGACCTTTAAGTTAGGAAGACATACAGTAGTTAAGTTTTTATGGTGGATAGCAAGGTTTCTCAACTTTGGTACTACTGACATTTGGGGTTAGATAATTTTTTGTTGTAGGAGGCTGTCTGGTGCACTATAGGATATATAGCAGCATCCCTGCCTCTCCCCACAATAGATGCCATTAAAAACAAACAGTTGCTGTCATGACTCGGACTCAGTAACCCCAGGTACGTCTGAGCAGAACTGTGCTCCATAGGATTTTTACTGGCTGATTTTTGGGAAGCAGATTTCTGGGCCTTTCTTCCAAGGTGTCTCTGGATAGATTTGAACCTCTAACCTTTTGGTTAACATTTGAGTAGGTTAACTGTTTGCAATATGTACAGATTTCACATGCCAATAATACTTCTCTGATTGTGACAATAAAAAAAATATCTTGTGATATTTTATAAAAATAATTATGAGTGAGTTTTGGGCCTGTGGGCTTGGGGCCATGGTCGTGGGACACATCAAGCTCAACTGGCTAACATACTACACAAAAACACTGTTCTACATCCTGCTTTGGTGAGTAGTGACTGGGGTCTTAAAAACTTGCAAGTGGTCATCTTAGACACAACAACTGGTCTCTCCTTATCCAGAGCAAAGAAGAATGAAGAAAACCAAAGACACATGGAAATAATTAGTTCAAGGGATTGGTGGACCATGCGAACCTCAGGCTAGATGACCCTGAGGCCATAAGAACTAGTTTAGATGGTGCCCCAGCTACCACTGTCAACTTCTTGGAAAGGGACGAAAATAGGAGATCCTGGAAAGAGTCAGAGAAAAATATGGAACAAAACTCAAAATCATAAAAAACATTAGGCTTACTGGTCTGACAGAGACTGGTAAAACCCCTGAGAGAATGGCCCCTAGTCATCCTTTGGGCCTGGAAATGAACTCATTCCTACGGCTCCCAGCCAAACAGACAGACAGGCATATGAGGTGAACATTTACACCAGGCAGGTATACTCCTTAGACCAACCAACCATAGGAGCTCAGAAGGGCAGTTTTGCGCAGAGAGATAGCTCAGAGGAATGCATAGCAAAGGACACAAGAAAAATGTAACTACAGGGAGGAAATAGGAAGAGATGGGTTACTCTGTGGGGATTGCAATCAATGTCATAAAATAAAATGTGTATGAACTGTTATATGGAAAATGAATTTTCTCTGTAAACTTTCACCCAAATCACAATAAAAAAGAAAACGATAGTAATTATGAATCTAAAGGGAAAAGAGGGAGCTCTGGTGGCACAGTACTAAGGCATTTGATTGCTAACTAGAAGGCTGGTGGTTCAAACCCACCAGCCACTCCTGGGAAGACCAGGCAAACTACTTCCACAGAGATACTGCCCTGGAAACCCAAGGAGAGGTCGCTATGAGTCAGAACCAACTCAATGGCAGTGAGTTTGATTTGGTTTGAAAGGGAAAAGAAATCATATAATACTAATCAAAAGTTTATAAAACTAACTTGTTCAAAACTCCAAATTCCAAAAGAAAGCTTTAAGCCAATTTCCCTACATTGTAAACCATTTTAATTTGAAATGTGATACAGATACTATAGTTTTTACCACTCCTTTATCTTTGCTTCATCATTCCACTTTAATGGACACTTACGGGCCTGGTCTGTGGGATTCATAAATTTTCCACTCTTGGTGGATGATGTAGATCTCCGTCCCATGTTGGCAATCTGGCAGGTTTACTTACTTGGGGGGCAGGAAAAGGGGACAAGCCTGCAAAGACAGAGAAAGAGATTAGTTTTTTTCTATATTTATGAGAGTTTTCCTCCTGAAGTTCATACACCTCTGACAAGAAACACTCCTCTGAAGTTTTGGAGATCTTGGGCTTTCCCTAAGTTTGATGTTAGTGTCCAAGAAAGATGGCCTCAACTTTCTTGCCCACCCAAAATTCGATCTTTATTATTTAGAAAGTAATGGGTCTGAATCACCAATTTAATTTGTTATGGATCATAGTAGCACTTACTGTCAGTTGAAAAAGATCAACCAGAAAATACTTCAATATGGCACAAACCACAAACATGAGAAGCCTTTAGTTCTTTTCCTACATCCTTCTTTTATTTGTGCTTAGGGTGACAAAGGAAGTAAAAGCCACTGGGGGTTAATAAAATCTGGACTTAAAGACAAATAGTTCACCCGTGCCCATCTCCCTGGTTTTTCTTGGCAGGTATGCTGTAAATTTCCCAAACCTCCAAGACAGTTATTTAGGCATACTGCATTCAGATTTAGTTTTAATTCAGATATACTTCTTGATTCCCACATTAGAATCTAAAACTAAAAATTCAAATATTTAAAATTATATTGAGAACTTCCATAATCTTTCATATTTATTAAGAGACATATTTTTCTCACAAGTACCTACTTGACTTGATTTGCATTTTTTTAAAAGCACCAGAAAAGAATGATTATGTTTCAGGGCAAATATTCTGTAAGCCAACATTTTCATTAATCTGCGGTCTTTGTGAAAGAAACTTACTCTCTCCAGTAACAAATTTCCTTCCTTTTGAACATAGACACTTTAAAAGGATGGGGATAAAAGACCATGAGGTAAATTTTTTGGTAGACAATACAATCATACTTTGTGTCCTACTTTATAAAGGATTTGTCAGACGAGGTGATTAGAGTTCATTCTCTTTCAGTTAAGTATTCAACTGCCCTGATTTATGCTAGATTTTTCAGAGATGTTCCAGTGGCAATAAATTAAGAGTGTGTTTCTTAGAAAAAATGTGGGGGTGAGGGGACAAGCAAAAAGTGCAAATGTAAGTTCTCGTATATTTAACGGCCTGAATCTTTTTTTGCTTTCCTCTCTTAATTATCCTCAGGCTCATCTTTTGACCATTCTCTTCCCACAACTAAAACATTAAACAGATCCGAATCACAGAGAATCCTTACTCTGGAACCTTAGTCTGCACAAATTACTTTTTTGTCTAAAAGCAGAGGCCGCCGGAGAGTCAGCCATGAAGCCATAAGGAACTCTCAACAGCCAGAGAGGCTCCAATGGAACGGAGCCCGCAACCATAACAGCAGCAGCAACTGTCGAAACCATAGCGACGGTTGACCGTGACTCAAGGTACTAGACGTCAACCCTAAGGTAATCGGTCAACGTGCACAAGAGGCGGCGCTAACCGACCCGGGCGAAATCAGTCGCTTCAATGCTGGATGCAGCACCGTATTAGACCCAGGAGTCCCGCAGTCTGAGACCCAGGACAACCTAAAAATGGAGAGGAAAAGGGCAGAGGAGCCTGGAATCCGCTCATGGACATCGAAAAAGACTGGAGAAAGGAAAAGGCTGAGTGAGGCAATCCTGCACACTCACACTTCTGCTGGGCTCCCGGTACTGCGATAAGTGGGCAGAGAGGATTCTCAGTTTCTCTTGCTTCGTAGGGGCCTTCACCCCTGCCTCCCAGTCAGCCACTCAGCCACCGCCATCTTGAAACCGCGCGCCCCTCCGCCATACTTACGTCACTTCCTATCCTTTAGGGCAGATGGTCTCTCAGCGTTTCCCTTCCGTGGAACCATAGAGAGTGCCCCATAACTCTATGGCCATCCTCTCCAACTGATTTGGTTGGCTATCCTCTAAGAGCCCACCCCCTTTACGCAATACGAAGACTCCACGTCGAGTGGCACTTCTGAAGTCCAATAGGAATCAGAACGAGGAAGCAAGGCAGATATCTGATTGGCTTACACAAGGTCACCCTGTTCCCGGGATGCAGCTTCACCTAATTTCCGGGAGTGCCATATATTGCGCCATCCGAGAGCCGTATGTTAAGGATGTTGTTGTTTGCCGGGGAGTCGACCCCGACTCATAGCGAGCCCTCCTTGGGTTTCCGAGGCAGTATCACTACTGAAGTAGGATTGCCCAACCTTCCTTCCGAGGAGTGGCTGGTGGGTTTGAACCGTCAGCCTTCTGGTTAGCAGGCAAGTGACTTAGCCACTATGCTACCAGAGCTCCCATGTTAAAGATAGAATTGAACAATCCAGTATGTATAGTGACATCATAGAAGACCAGTGAAATGACCAGTTGGGAAATAATCAATACAAATCAAGATATCTTTAACATAGGACTGTGTTTTGCACTGTGTCTATATCATGGTAATTGTGCTAGGTTTAAAATTTTCCAGGTTCTAATTACGAACGTGGCAGTGCGGTCCTTAAGGAAGTATTAACTTGGCATTGTTTGGTGGGCCTGGTTAATTCTACGTGGGCGCTTGGTTCATCTATGAATTAAGCAATGAAACCGTAGACGCACAGCATTTGTAGATATGAACGAATTAGTACTCGTATTAAGTCCCCAGGTTGCTAATACACAGGATTATTTTTTGAAGGCAAAATGAGGTATTACATGTGCAGTTTTAAATTTAGGAATGACGAGTTGATTTGTATTGATTATTTCCCAACTGGTCATTTCACTGGTCTTCTATGATGTCACTATACATACTGGATTGTTCAATTCTCTCTATTTTTTTGTCATTTCCTTCTATTCTGTCGTAACTTTCCCTGAGCTTCCCTCCTCGGCCTTTTTTTTTTTTTTCCCTTAAAGGTAAATTTAACTTTTTTTAAAAAATTCTGCTCTTAAAGGACGTACTTGGTTATTTCTGATCTTAAACTGAGTACCTCCTATAGGAAAACAAGTTAGATATAGGCCGATTCTGACCCATTTAAAATTTTTCAAAATATTGATGGGGATACATACTATTTTAGCAGAACATATATATACGTGTGCACTTAGTGTTGTAAGTCCTATACCTAAACTAACCATTGTCTTAAATTCTTGATTTGACTTTTAGACTGAATTTTGACTTCCTGAAAGAGCAGTAACAAAAATGCCTTAGGCATTATGCCACCAGAGCTCCCGCAACATCTCGTAGGTCAAAGCTTATAAACCAAGCGATAAAAAAGAAAATAATTTAGGTAAACTAAATTGTGATATTTTGCAACTAATTAAAGCAATGACGAGGAAGAGAAAAAGAGTACATTTGAAAAAATAAGTCGTTTAGCTTTTCGCCTGTTGAGATATGCTGATTATTTTTTATTTAAAGGTATTTCTCGTACTTCAGTACCAGAATCAAATATAACAAACACATTCTCCCATCAACAGCATATTATTAATTTTGTGAGTAGAACCTGAAAGAGTCTCAACTGGGAGTGACTAATTGCTGAAAGGTTTAGAAAATACACCCAGCTGCACTAAGTTTCAACTGTACTATTGAGCCTCTACAGCCTCTGAGTTTTCTTGAAATTGCATAATGGCCCAAAAGCTTCATACAACAAAGGAAGCTGCCTCTTTCCTGCTAGTATTAAAAATAAAATTATTTTCTTTTTCTAAAAACTTAAAAAGTAATAAATTATTACTTTCCTTTAAAAGGCAATTTCTTAAAAGATTAGGGACCGCCTCTCCTGGATGTTAAGTGCATTTTATGAATGTTGTAGCTGAGTTGGTTGGTTTTTAAATGTTCGAGACAGTTCAAACATTCACTTGAAGGATATTTTATTATCACACCACAAGTTGGTCAGGGTTGGTTGCAATTGAAGAAAGAACCTTTATATTTTTAGTTTCATCTTATTAATCTATCTGGATTGTCTTGTGTAGCTAGTTATCATCATGGAGCCATTCATTGCTTCTTCATCACTGAAGCATATTGGTAGTAACCAATATTTAATATCTTCCATTTTACAGAAAATGTGATTTAATATAATGGTCAAAAATATGGTCGTATTTCAATTCCATTCAAAGGCTTGTGTCTAGGCAGAATTTTCTAAGTATGTCCCCTTAGAACTAAAAGATGTCTGAGGATAGTGGTTGAAATGCAAAACTGCATTCAATGTAAATTTTAAGAATTTTGACTGGCAGTTATAAAGGGTAAGCCTCCATGTGCTGACCTATGTACTGGTATTTAATGTTGATCTGGTAGTGCAGGGTGAGAAAACTCCTAGTGTATAGTACTAACTAATCCAGGCATTGGTTGTTGATAAAAGAACAAAAAACCACCCCCAAAATAAACTCCAGAGTCATTCAGTTTTAGCATGTCTGATCCTCTTTTCCCAACTATTTACCCTGTTTATGCTCATATAGGAGGGACATGAAAAATCAAACTATTCAAGGAAGCAAAACACTATTACTGAGAGGGAAGCAGAAAAATATTCCAGTAAGAAATAAAATGGGTGTTCATTTCATTTGGCGTTTCACTGTATTGGTGACCTCAGTAATGGCGTGATGGTATTTCTCTGAGGCTGACTTGAACTCTACCAGATGCTTCTCATAACTTCTGATGGCTGCTTCAAGCTGCGTTTTCTCCACTGCTCCCAAGATAGCACGGATGATCATATCTATGCCAAGGCCAAGAACAGCAACTGCAATACTACCAAGGAGAGAAGCACTAATTTGAGCTAAAACAGTGACCAACTTGTTAATTATGCCTGTTGTGACGTTTGAGCCTATGAGTTTAACAGCCACTGCACTGGCTGCAGAAGTGGCTTCTCCCAGGATAACTGAAATAACCTTTTGTACGATTGCTATTTTCTCTGTCTCCCTTTCCTTAATGTCCTGAAGTTTTCTGTAAAGGGTTGGCTCTAGTTTTTCTTTTAGTGCTTCATCAACTTTTCGCAGTTCCTTTTGAATTTTCATCATGGCCTGAATGATGATATCACAGTTTTCTTTGATGGTGCCATGTCTTTTCATTTCAATTGAGGCCAACCTGCACCCCAAGTGCATATTTAGAACCCCAATCAGCTTATTGGTGGCATGGAAGCTGTCAGATAAGCAATCAAGGAGTTGCTGGTGAAGACGGTTTACTTCCTGCCTCCTCTTCGGGTTGTCTGGGTAGAGGAAGTCACTCTGAGCCATTATTTCAAATATCTCTGAAAAATGAAAAAGTAAATCCTCACTAAAAATCTTGGAAAATATCTGCTATCTATAGATTTCACCAGGAAATTTTTTACTCCATAGCAAAATAGTGATAATGCTGTTTGAGAAATTCTTCAGAAAATGCAACATAATCTTTAAAACAAGTTTATGAAACTTGGAGGCAGTGTATGGAAAATGTGGGTAGCAAAATGGAATCCTTTAATACATAAATTGAAGCATTAGATTTTGTGGTGGAGTAAATTTTAGATAGGAAATATTTGTGTTTATCCAGCAAATGATTATTAATATGTATGTTTATTTTCCAGGAATATTTAATAACCATTATTTGAAACAGACTCTAATTTGAAATTGTTTGCTCTTGAATACTAGTCGTTCCTGCCCTCCTCACCCGAGGTCACCATTATCGAATAGTCCTACCATATTTACTTATTTGATATTTGGAGTTAATTAGTTTGGTGAGAAGAATATTAAGATCTCTGAGTTTTCAGGGCTGTTAGTATCAAATTTTGTGTTTATATACTTTGTTATTTTAATTTACAGTACTCAAATCATTTTATGTATTTTGTACAGGCAAATTATTTGTTTTTCAAACCTAAGGGACATCCAAAGACCACACACAGCATTAGAATCTTAAAACCAAAAACAGAAAAAAACACTCTTTTCACCATCTTTCTTTTTTTGGGGGGGAGAGAATAATGTGGGACAAAACTCAAAATCATTTGGGGGAAAAAAAAAAAGGGACCAGGTTTGCTGGTCTGATAGAGCCTGATGGAACCACAGAGACTATGGCTCTTAGCTGCCCTTCAGGTCTAGAATTGAACTACTCCTGTGGCTTCCATCCAAACAAAAGATAGGCATATGAGGTGAACATTTATACCAGGTAGATACACTCCCTAGAGAAAACAGTCATGGGAGAATAGAAGGGCTGTGTATGCACAGGGAGGCAGCTCAGGGGGCAGGTGTGCATGCAGGGAGGGACACAGGGAAGAGGTAACTATGGGGAGGAAGTGGGAAGGGAGCTGTTGCATTGTGGGAAATTGCAGTCAGTCAGTGTCATGAGACAGTGTATGTGAGCTGCTGTATGGAAAGTGAATTTGCTCTGTAAACTTTGACCCAACTCATAATTAAAAAAAAAAAGAAAGAAAGAAAACACTTTTTAAAAGTAAGATATTCAAGACATCTTGGATTAAAATTTTACTTGGGGAGAAAGACATAATGCAGGACCCAATGCAGTTTTGTCTATCTCTGTGATTCTACATTTGCAAAACTTAGGAAATAAATCACTTAGAATAGTCTATAGTACACTTGGCCATTGGGAGCTCTGGTAGCATAGTGCCTAAGGTGCTTGACTGCTAACCAGAAGGCTGGAGGTTCAAACCCACCAGCTCCTCGGAAGGAAGGTTGGGCAATCTACTATCTGTAGTGATACTGCCTTGGCAACCCAAGGAGGAGTCGCTATGGTCCTACTCGATGGCACATAACAACAACAGATTTAGTTTCAGGAGCTCTGGTGGTATAGTGCCTAAGGCATTGACTGTTAACCAGAAAGCTGGCAGTTGAAACCCACCAAGCCACTCCTTGGAACGAAGGTTGGGCAATCTATTTCTGAAGTGATAACGCCTTGGAAGCCCAAGGAGGGGTCACTGTAAGTTGGGTCTGCCTCCACAGAGGGAATTATTATTATTATTTTATTTTTTTTTAAGAGTTAGCTTCAGAAAGACAAGACAATGCCATTTTGCAGTAGTGAGAGAATACTGTGGTAGTTCATGTGTCAACATGACTAGGCTTGGTTGAGTGGCTGGGCAGCTGGATATAGTTATTCCCCATGGTGAGATAGGTAATTAACTCCATGGTGGAATGTATTGCAGCAGCTGAGTAGGTGCCTTAGGGATGTGGTCTGCTTCCCATATATAAGAAGCAGCTTTGGGAATGGTCTCTAGCTTATGGCACGCTTGAACCTTGCATGTAGCCATGTCGTTGGTCAGCAGCCTGCCATGCTGTGCCGACCTTGGGACTTTCAACCAACTTGAATTAATGGCCTGCCGTGTGGTGTGGTAACATTGTGACTGTGCCATTTTATTTGTCGACCTTGGGTTTGTTAGCCTCAGCAGCCAGCAGCTGTCTGAGTGAAGAAAAGCCTCTATTTTCGGTGGGCTGGGAGCAAGAGACGGAGCTGAAGCCCAAGGTCTAGGGGCTTTCACACAGCCCGTAGAGCCTGGGACTTTGAACTCGGACTTAAAGCCTTGAAATTGTAAGAAAAAACTCCTGTTTGTTAAGCCATTCCATTTGTGGTATATTCTTGTCAGAGCAGCACTAGGTAACCAAAACAATCACCATCGAATGTACAAAATGAATGTGACTGTTGATGTGGTGTAATAAGAGCCTTCTTGTATTTGTACTTCTGGTTCATAGTAACATCTGGAGTTTATTTGAATAAAGAATCAACAGACGCATCTCAAGTAGGCGTACTATCTGCCTGGCATTTTATTCTTTCTTTTAAATTTCTTGGGAGAAAAGAAAGTGAAAGGGGAGTGCTGTTTCTCTGTGTGAGATTTGCCACATTCACTCTGAGTAAACAGGATCTTGATTAATGTGGGCCCTATCTAATCTAGGACCATGATTCTTAGTCTGGAAATGAGAAACCTTAAGAATGGGATGAAGGACTGAAAATACTTTTCTCTCAAGAATGTAAACATGAAAATAACTTATCCTCCATGTCATAAAGATATAATTTAGAAATGGAAATTTTCTGAACTGGACTAGAAACATTAATGATCTGTTATTAGATTTAGAAAATAAACTGAAAGTTTCTGGTAGGATAAAATTGACCATGATCAGAAATTCAGTTTTATCCATGACCCAGTACACACGCATATACACACACACACCGCTTGCACACACATCTGTGAGAGAAACAAATATCCACAGAGCAATACTTAGAAAATCTCTATTTTCTATCCTATGAAATAGCATTTTAAAAAATTGCTTGTTAAGAGTCTCATTAAATGTTCTCAGAACTCACCAAGGAATTGCAAACTGCAATTTGATAACCACACATTTGTGGTTTGATTTCTTATTTTTCTAGTAAGAATTTTCTTTTAAGCCTTCTCTTTCTTTTTTCGCTTCTGGTTTTGGCAATCCTACTTCCATAGTGATAACTGCCTCGGAAACCCAAGGAGGAGTCGCTATGAGTCGGGTTTGACTCGACGGCACGTAACAACAACATATACTTTAATAGGAGCTCTGGTAGCATAGTGCCTAAGGCACTTGACTGCTAACCAGAAGGCTGGCAGTTCAAACCCACCAGCCACTCCTCTGAAGGAAGGTTGGGCATTCCTACTTCCGTAGTGATACTGCCTCGGAAACCCAAGGAGGGGTCGCTATGAGTCGGGGCCGACTCGATGGCAAACAACAACATATACTTTAATATATGATAAATGTATAATCTCAAAAATAATTAAAATTATTATTTGGGAAATGGTCCTGGGCTAGTCTTTGGGATTAAAAGTTAATACAATTTTAAAAATTAATGTAATAAGTGCCTCACCCAAAATCAATAAATAAAATAGTGGATAATTTTCAAATGTCTGTATGAGGAGAAGGAGGTCTGGTGACACAGTGGTTAAAGCATTCGGCTGCTAACTGAAAAAGTTGGTCATTCTAACCCACCAGCTGCTCTGTGGGAGAAAGATGAGGCAGTCTGCTTCTGCAAAGATTTACAGTCTTGGAAACACTATGGGGCAGTTCTACTCTGTCCTGTAGGGTCACAAACAGTCAGAATTGACTCAGTGGTTTGAGTTTTATGTGGAGGAGAACTTAATAAGCTTAAAACTCAGGAAAAAAATCACACACAAAGAAATTTGACTAACAAATGACCATATAAAAACTGAAAGTCAATTGGGAGAAATGTGAGAAAAATGAAAAAAGAAAAATTAATCTCTAAAGATAACTGTTATTATTTATTAAAAAACACCAGTAATAATATAATAACAAAATGAGCAAACAACTCTGAACACGCAATAAAAGAGGCAAAAAACCCAAATCAGTGCCATAGAGTCAATTTCCATTCAAAGTGACCCAATAGGGCAGAGTCATAGGGTTTCCAAGGCTGTTACTTTTACAGGCAGATGAAAGATGAGGCAGTCTGCTTTGATAAAGATTTACAGCATTGGAAACCCAGTGGTGGTCATTATGAGTCAGAATTGACTCCAAGGCAGGGAGCTTGGTTTTGCATTTTCATGGAAGCAGACTGCCACATCTTTCTCCTGCAGAGCCCACTCACCTTTCAGTTAGCAGTCAAGTGTTTAACCCAGGCCACCAGGGCTCCTCAAAAAGAAGAAATAGTAGCTAATAAGCTGATAGAAAAAAATTCTGCCTTACTAGAGATCAAAGACATATCTTTTCAAATACAAAAGTAACATTCTTTTCCCCCTTTAAAGGCTCAAGCCATTGCACATGTGCTCCTTCTAGGCTCCAGACATCAATCAAACCTTTGTGTCAATAAGAACTTTGAGTAAGACATTGTTTTTTACTTCCAATGAGAAAGAACTTTAGTTTTTCTGAGTCAAGCATACTAGTTTTTTTTTTTTTTCCTTCCCTTGGGGTGGTGGGGGTTTGGGGACCCTCACAAAAATAGATTTTCAGGATTCCTGTTCCTATACCTGCTCAAGTATGTATGAGCTGCTGAAGATTATTGCCAGCCCGACAGCGAGATAAGAAATGCTAAAGAATTAAGTGGAGGAGAAATGATGTTTGAAGGTGAAACTAGTATTATTTTGGACAGGTAAGATTTGAAGCACTTGGTGCAGAAAGCAATTTATTCATTCAGTAACAATTCTACTAATAGCTAATACTTTACTTTAGAACTTATAGAGATGAAAAAGACATGGGCCTTGCTTTCATGGAATTTCTAATCTATTTAGGACATTTAAGACAAATCAAACTACAATGTCAAGTTGAAAGTGACATGCCATAAAAAA